AGAAAAAAAATTCATCTAGTCTTTGTATTTTTTTAAATTTAAATTTCACTTGTTTTTGCTCTGATCTTGGATCTCCCCCCTTAAAGTAGGGCTGGGTTTGGATTATTGCTGCTTTTTGAGTATCTTGAGGTTCATCACTAGCTTATTTATTTGAGCTTGCTGTTTTTCTAATGTGAGCACAACTAGCTGTCATCTAGTACTGTCTTCATTGTGTCCTCTAGTTTCTAGTGTGTTGTCTTAGTATTGTAGATCCCAGAAATTGCTTAATTTCTTCTATGACCATTGATTGTTCAAGGGTATATTATTAAGTTTCCCTGTATTTCTAACTTTTTTGTTGTTTCTTTTGTGGTTGATTTCTAGTTACAATGCACAGTGGTCTGATAGTACAGTTATGTGATCTACCTTTCTGCGACTGTTCAGACTTACAACCAGTCTTTTTTATTTTTTGGGCAGTTCTGTACAACTTATTTATAAAATCTCAGGGTCTTTTTTTGTACAGTATACCTTGTACATAGTATGGTAAATTTTGCTGATTATACTGTATAGTACAGTACTGTAGTTTTATATTTTGCTATATATTACAGTAGTACATGTAAAACATGCAAGTAAAAGCAAAATAATCAAGTTAGGGTTTCCTTCAACAATTTCTTTGTTCTAAATATTGTAATGTACATACTATATACAATTCCTCATTTGGTGACCAATTCATTTAATGACCTAGGCACAGGAACAGAACTTGGTCATTAAATGAGGAATGTCTAGATACATTGGGTAATTTCAATATTTTTGCATGTATTTAAGCAAGATAAGTGGACTGGTATGTGGTCTATTTTGGAGAAAGTTTGATGTGCTGCTGAGAAGAGTGTGTATTCTGTTGCAGTAGAAGAGAACTCTGTAGATAGTTACTAACTCCATTTCTTCAAAGGTGTGGCACAGGGCTGATATGTATATTTTTGGGTTTGTGTTAACTTGATCCGCTTCTTTGTGAAAGTAAAGTATTGGGGCCACCCAATAAGATCCTTTGCTGTTTATTTGGTTTTCTATGTCCAGCAACATTTTTTTTTAATGGAGTTAGATGCTCCAATACTTGGAGCATGTATGTTTACAAGTGTTAATCCTTCTTGTTGAATTGGTTCCTTAATTAGTAGCCTTCTTTGACTCTTCAGATCTGTTTTAGCTTGAAATTTACTTTTTCTAAGAGTAAAAGTCCTATTCCTGCTTGCTTTGAAGGTCCTGGTCATGAAATTGTTTTTCCATCTTTTAGTTTATAAATTTCTTTTTGTATTAGATGTTTCTTTAATGTAACAAACTGTCCAACTGTATTTTTTATCTAATCTGCCAGTCTATGTCTTTTAATTGGGGAATTGAGGCCATTGACCTAGAGACTTATTACAGAAAGTTATTGATTTATTCTTACCATCATGTTCCTTTATTGATAATATTTATTTTCCCTTTTTTGTTTAACTATTTGCCTTTCTTTTTCTTTTTTCTTTTTGAGACTGGATGGCTTCACACTGGTGGTGATCCCCCTGCCTCAGCTTTCCTGTGCTAATACTACAGGTGTGTGCCATCATGCGCAGCTTATTTGTTCCATTTTCTGGATTCATTCCTTGGCATTTCCATCCAGGATATTCTTGAGTATATTTTGGACTGCTAGTTTAATGTGCATGTATCTATCAGTTGTTCCATCTTGTAGAATGTCATCTGTGTGCTGATTTTGAAAGATAAGAAGGGAGAGCGAAGAAACAACTACATCAAAACAAATAAGAGAAGGAAAAACACCAAAACAGAACAAATAACAAAAAATTAAAACAACACTCCAGTAAGAGAACATGCATGCAGTTCCCACATGATCATGACACCACAAAGCCTGAATGTCCTCACACTTCTTTCTTGCTTTAGTCTTGGTCTTTAGTGCTGTCTTTCAGGCAGCCGCACTAGCTTCCCATCCGTCTGTACCGGCCTACCTGGAAATGGTGGGGTCAGTTTCTTTTAGCCCACCTCTCCTCTCTCACTCAAGCTGTGCTTAAGGCCTGGTTACTTGCAGGTTTTTGTCTCTGTCCCGTGATCCAACCACTGCAATCATTTTGAGAGGAAGAGGACGTGAAATAATTTTCCTGGCACTGAGCTCATCCTCATCTTCTGCCAATACCCTGTGACTCCCTCTTCCTTTGCTGTGGGGAAACCTCCCAGTTTTCCCTCAGAGTTTTTCTGACTAGTTCCTCAGCAGAAGTTTTGACCCCAGCCTTCCTCTTTTCTCCCGAGGGCTCAAATTCCCAACAGACCGCCTCAAGAATTCCCCTTTCCAGCCAGCAGGGTCTAACCTACACGGGCCCTGCATTTGGTTTAGGGACTCTTCCCCCGAGCACAGTAGTGACCACTGCTCAGGATTTCCTGCTATCTCAGATTTTTCCAGTCTTTGTGGAAAGGACAGGAAGGATCTCACGTTGGACCAGCTGTTCAGTGGTGCCTGCCCTCCTCTCACTCCAGGGACATGATGAGTGGAGGGCCTCAGCCAGCGGACTCCACAGGCTGTCTTCACCATCTTTCACCTCTCTCGGCTTGGCATTGGGGTGGGGTTTCCTAGCCTGTGGGGGCAATGGAGAGGAAGCTCGCAGGATGCATCATTTCTACATTTGGGCTGAGAATGGGAAGAAGAGTACATTACACACAGTACCGGTTAGGTTTTTCCGCGCAGTAAAGAGACAGGAAAGATAAAAGAGGCCTTTACTGCAGGTACAGGGAAGACCACAGGAAAGGAAACGTGGAGCCCCGTGGACCTGGCCACTGACACAAAGGCTATATAGGGCCAGGTTGGAGCTAGGGTTTAAGGAGCAGACTGCATGACGTGGCAGATAGTGATTGGGCATGAGGTGGGAACGAGGAACCAGTAGGAACTTGTAATTTGACCAGGGAAGAGGAAGGCGGAGCCTAGCGCATGGCCTCCTGGTGGGCTGTGCCATTTGGCTCACCACCTTGATGACTAGGCAGAATTTTTCTTAAGGCGGAGAAAACCCATCCAGTATCTATCCCTAGAGTTCGGCTTCTGCCACTGGTTCATTTTCTCAGGCTATTTTGGGCTGTCCCTGTCTCTGTTTCTGTCTCTCTCCCCCTCTCTCTCTCTGTCTCTGGCTGGGTCAGCCCACCCTGGGGGCAGGCCGGCGGGGCATGTGGTGCCAGGGACCGAACTGTGGTCCCTGCACTTGCCTAAGCTTGCCTAAGCAGGTGCTTCAGTCCGCTGAGCTATCTTGCCGGCTCTAGTTTGGGCTTTCTTGATGGTTGCTTCTAGAGGGAGGGGTGACACAGACCAGCTGATACAGGGGAATAAAACTCCTAACCTGAAAGATACGAGGGATGAGTTCGTGTTCTCCAAAACTGAAGAATAAATTTTAAGAATAAAAGGAGGTGTTTGTTTTTGTTTTGTTTTTTGTTTTATTTTAATTTTTGGTACCATAGATCAAACTCAGGACCTTGTGCTTACCCGGCAGGCTCTTAAGCCACTGAGCTATCTCCCCAGACCCAACGTGGAGCTTAAGAGCAGCATATATTTATTGGGGAAAAGAAAACTCCTGTCCAGAGAGGGACAGAAAAGGAACCCAAGCAGGTTGCCTGGAAATCTGCCATTTCTAGGGATTTTTATAGAGCAAAACCGTGTGGTGAGGTGGGTGAAAGGTGGAAAACGTTAGAATTCACATGAGGCGGGACAAAACTATGGTCAACCAATGAGGCTACAGGTACAATTGCTCAGGTAAAATTGATTAAATTAGGATCAAATGGGAAAATGAGCCATGTACCAAGTGGGAACGTTACAGAGCAGAAGCTTTTCCTGTAGGGGGTTGGGTTAGTGACACGGGTGACTATTTAGAATATCAATTATTTACCCGTGTCTTGAGGTCTGGCCCACAGCAGGAGTGTTTGTCTCTTCCCAAGTTGCAAGGTCATCTTGTCCTCCACATTGTCTCCTTGAGGGCCTAGCCCTGTCTGATTGCCTGTGATATTTCTATCTAATTTAGCTGCCTACAACATTTTCAGTGATCTACATTGTAAGGAAAACATTGCAATGAA